TGAAGGGGATCCGGGGGCCCTTGAGTGGTTCACCGAGGTCGGTCTTCACCTCAGTCCTCGCCACAGATGTGTGAGTCTTGTGTGATAACGCACGAGGAAATTATTCACGGTCATCCCTGAGGAAAGAGGGATCCGTGGGCTACGGTTCAGATTGTTCTCCAGCAAAGTTATTTTGTTCAAAATAATCTCTCCTGATTTCCACGTGCCAAGTTCCCTTTGCTTTTGGGATAGATATCGAGATCCTGTGTAACTTCCATGAAGATGTCCCTCCCCACACATGCACTTTTGCTAGCTCACAGACTGGTAGGACTCTTCTTCTCTCTTACCTGGTGGTTTGACTATATACTTTTACGGTATCATAATCAGGAGGTTATTTGTCTGACTGGCAGTAAAAAAAAAAAAGCGAACACTGGGCTTGAGTATCTATTCAGTCGCTGTTTCTCTTTTAAAACCTGAGGAGGAACGTATATTTGAGTATATTGCCTGTGACCTCCACAAACTGCAGCTTTTTTGGTATGCAGAATAATTTTTGTTGATGACTTGTTTCCTGAATTACCAGTCGTGCATTGTTGAATCGTGCTCCGTGGCTTCTGGTCATCCTGTGGGGAATTCTCGTGCTCAATGCCTGGACTTTGCTTCGTTGCCAGTCCCTGAAGTGATCTGACAGTGGCATAGGATGATTCCTGTTGTCTTCATGAGCTGTGTTCTTCTTTAGGTTTCAGAGGAGCGTGTTGGATCTCTCTTTACAGTGGAGATTTGCCAGACTGCCCAACAATGCCAAGCTGGAGATGGTGCCAGTCTCTAATAGAGTGGGAATTGGAAACACGGTATGTTCATTTCGTAGTGTGACCTGATCTGTTCACTTATCAGTTGTGCTGGATATGATCTTGTCAGACCTAGTGAGCAAGAGCATGGTTAGGCTTGGCCGGTGCTTCAGTGGAGGACCACCCAAAGACTGTTTGAGGTGTGGTGGAAAATGGTAATTTAGTAGCTGGAAGTCTTTGCTTACAGTCTGGATGATTGTGGAATTCCAGCTGTGTGCTGGAGGATAGGGAGGTGTTTTGGGGAGCTGAAAAACTAGTAGTCACGAATGTATAGGAAGTTACACATCACTGATGACTTTGCTCAGCAGTTGGGCTACTAACTCAGTTCCCTTTCCTAATTTCTATTTCAGTTGCTGTTGTCTGCTTCTGGATTTTAACTAAATCAAATTCTTACTGGATTCTCTTTTGCTTCTTTCCCAGCATTGCTGTTCACGGTGTGTTCACACAGCTTTAGAATTTTTTTGTGATGTGCTGTGTTTAGCAGTTGCTGAATGTCCCTATTTAGTATAATTTCCAAAGGGTTTACAGATGCCGTGTTCTGTAAGAAGTATTGTCACGTTTAGGAGATTTAAAAATCTTTTATGTGTGTCATTATAACAGCTGGAGGCATAATTTTTAAAATGATGCATAGGTGTTAATGAGCATAAACACTTTATGTGGTAAAAATGAAGTATGATCTTATTTAAGTAGCCTGGGAATGAGAATTTGTCTATCGCTAACAGTCATCTCTCTTCTTATTGACTTTCTTATATGGATTTTCTCAATTTCTGTGAAAGTTTCAGGTCTGTTATTGCTAATCTTTTGATGTCTATCTGCCAAATTGTGTTATGGTATTTTGTTATAGGCAGTTGCTTTGGCTGTCACAAAGATAAACTGGTATATACATTGAAAAATAAACTTTGTAGTGTGAGAAGGTTTAGGAATCTCAGCTGTAGTTCGCTGTGGGTGTGCATTGTAGTTTTGGGGGTCACTGATGTCCATGTTTTTCTCTGTAAAACCTCCATATGCTTTATTTTGGCACTACTACTTTGTGGTAGAAAGAAGTTTGTGCTCCAAGTGGTGTATTTTGTTACAAAAAATACCACAAGCTGGTAGCATCTACTTAAAATTTTCAGTTAAAAAAAAGTTGTGATGGCATGGAGTTCGTCTTCCAGAAGAAGGTGTTTCTGTTAAAATGGTACAGTGGTGACTTTATCTGACATTTACATCCAGTTTGGGATGTGTTGTACTGAAGGAAAACAGTGATACATTTTTTTTTTTTCTTCCCCTCCATGAAGATATATGCAATGTATCAGGGTGAGAAAGACTGTGCACTGTAGAAGTGGAGTTATAACATGAGATTGCTACTTTAGATCATGAAAGAGAAGAGCTAATGAAAGTTTAAGATGTTACTGTTTAGTCAAATTTCAACAGAAGAATCTACATAAGTGAAGCTTCCCTTGGGGTGCTCGTGGCTATTTTATGGAGTTGAGAAGATATAGCAAATATGCTTGTGAAGAATGGAGTCTAAACAGAGTTGCTGTCCCATAAACTAAGAGCAGAGATTTCACTTGGAAGAATTTTACAGACAGTATAAGAAAATACTTTGTACAGAACAATTGACTGAAAGAATTCCCTGCCACAGGGAACTAGTGTCAAATACCGTAGGAAGTTTAAAACAGCCAGATAACTGTGGCTAGAACTGACACTAGTATTAAGCCCTAATATGGTAGCAGTTGAGATGCAGGCTCAATCATGCAGGTTGGCTGCAGTAATGTTGGGATGAATTTGGTTCTGTGCGTTTTGTTATTGTGTCTTTTATTGAGATAATGTGCATGGAAGTAGGTGTGCTTTCCTGTGGTGTGTTGGCAGCGGTTACCCCTAAAGACAGAATACAGATTTCGACAAATCATGAATTTGTTCAGCAAATCTGGTATTTTTTAAAATAGAAAGCTTTGGGATTTGCCTTGTCATGTAAAAATCATTGATTCCTGTAAGACAGTTCTTTAGTGAAAAATTGAACAAATTCCCCTTGTGATGGCAGGTGATCTAGGGGTACCATCAGTACAGTTTTAGTGTTAAAGTTGTTAGCCTTTTGTTTATATGTTTGTAAACATAGAAGATAATTGCCGCTGGTTTCTCTATTATTTTATATAGAGCCTGGGATTTTTAAAAAGGCTTTTCTAATTGACTGAATAGGACTTTCGTGACATGCTTAGCTTTGAACTGTTGCCCAAAAACTGATGCAACTGGTAGTTGGAATTTCTGGGCTGGATTCTTACAGAATGGTGATGTCAGCTGTCATCACTCTGCTGTAGCTGAGAATAATCTAAGGCTTGTCTCCAGCCTAGGAGAAACCAGAAGGTTGTGTTAGTGGTGGGATGGAAAGACTTATTTCTGTTGGCTAGTTGTTGATGATGCCACTGTTTCCTTTATGTAGAAAAATTCCTGTCTCCAGCAGATCACAATTTGCAGTCCTGCAAGGACTGGTAGGAGCTGAGGCAGATGACAAACATGTTCCTCCAAGAAAATCACAGTCGATTGCCGGAGTGTGTGGTGTCTATTTTTTCCCATCTCTGTCTCTTTCTCGCTCCCCCTCGTGCTCACGCGCGCACCCCTCACACAGAGAGAGAGAGAGGATGCACTGAGATTGTTGGTAGGGACACATGAAAACACAGAATGAAAGAAAGCTTCTGTTGATGTCCTAGTTTTATGTTCTTCTCAGACTTTTGAATAAGGCCAATTTCTTTGGGCTTCAGAAAACCGTAGTTGATTAGAGATACTAGGTGCTATCTAATAGGGACTTATTTTTTCACTTTTCTTTAGATGGGTGAGCTAACTGGGAAAACTTAGACATTTTGAAAAAGAAGGCTGAATATTCTCTAAAAGGTAAAGATGACACCTGAAGTGCTCTGCCATTCTCCATCTCTTGGTCAGCTGCTAGATTTTTCTCTTGGGACCATCAGGAGTTTGAAGTTCTTCAGGACTGTCCTTAGTGTGTGTTCATTTTAGAAATGCCTTGGATTTTATTATTTGGGGGGGGGGGCGGGTGAGGAGGGAGCAATTCTCTGAAGAATATGTAGGATCTGCATCAGCACCTGCTAATGAGCGTGAATGTTCACGTTCCAGGTTGGAAAAGATCTGTTAGAATAGGCAGCTACTTGTCCTTTGCCTTTTTCTGCAGGTGTTTAAGAACTTGATAACTGAATGTCCAGAAAAATTTTTGAGATTTTTTTTTATTAATTCACTCTTAAATTGTATGTCAAAATTTGGTGGTTAAGAAGCATTAGTGAGTTGCAAGTTGCACATGTAGTCTCTGTGGACTGATAACAGTGGGTTAGGTCTTCAATAACTCAAAGGTAGATTTGGACGGTGTGGTCGTAGTTTCTCTGTGCGGATGTGCAAGGATACTGTTTGTTCTGCCCCAGGGAGGTGTTGTGCAAACTGATGCTTAAGTCCACAGAGCTCTGTGTTGGTGTTTTAGTTTATGCAGCTGCATCAGTCCTCTCTGGGTTATTGGAATTCATTTTACATAGCTGCAAAGACCCTTACTGTAAAGTTTCAACTAGTGTAAAACAGAGCATCTCAGTTGCTCGTGATGATACGTTATTTGGGATGCTTGCATTGGCCTTTCTCTGAATGTGTTTCAGTTCATGATATGGCAGGGAAGAGGGGCCCAAGAAAGCTGGTTCATATTCAGGGGTCGCTGCCTCCATGCTCAACAGTGGTCTGTTCCAATGAAGAGGAAGTCAGGCAAAAATGCCAGAATGTCTGCATGGACGAACGAGGAGCTCCTGGCCAAACTCAGACACAAAAGGGAAGCATACAGGGAGTGAAAGCAAGGATGGGTAACCTGGGAGGAATAGAGAAACCTTGTCCGAGCATCCAGGGATGAAGTTAGGAAAGCTTAGGCCCAAGTGGAATTGAATCTGGCCAGGGATGTCAGAGGCAACAAGAAGGGCTTCTTTAAGTACATAGGTGACAAAAGGAAGGCTAGGGAAAATGTGGGCACATTGCTCAGCAAGGCAGGGCACTTGGTTACCCAGGACATGGAAAAGGCTGAACGCCTTCCTTGCCTCAGTCTTTACTGGCAAAACCGGCCTTCAGGAATCCCAGGGACCAGGGGGAAAGGCTGGAGCAAGAAAGACGTACCCTTGGTGGAAGAAGATCAGGTCAGGGAATACGTGAGCAAACTGAACATAGGCCCTGGGCCCTGATGGGCTGCACCCATGAGCGATGAGGGAGCTGGCAGATGTCACTGCAAGGCTACTCTTGATAGGGATGGGAGAAGTACCTGAAAACTGGAGGAAAGCAAATGTCACTCCTGTCTTCAAGAAGAGGGACACAGGGAACTACAGGTGGGTCAGCCTCACCTCGATCCCTTGGAAGGTAATGGAGCAGCTAATCCTGGAAACCATTTCCAGCACACGAATGACAGGAAGATCATCAGGAGTAGCCAGCGTGGATTCACGAAGGGGAAGTCATGCTGGACCAACATGATAAGCTTCTGTGATAAAATGACTGGCCTAGTAGGTGAGAGGAGAGCAGTGGATATTTTCTACCTGGACTTCAGTAGGCCTTTGACACTGTCTTTGATGAGATCCTCATATATAATGCTTATAGTCATAGCAGAATAGAACTATTCTAAGTATTAACTTCTAAAATAATCATTTGAATACCCCTCTGCATTTTTAACTAATGTAACCTTTGCAGCAAGTGTTTAGAAGGAAGTCATGTTTTTTTTGGATAGCAGGTTCTAGAGATCCTTGAAATATTAAAAAGAAGTTGTGAAGAAAAGAAGGTTTTCATTCAATTTTCATATTAATTCAGTGTATTTTTCCTATAGATTCGGATCGCATTACAATTAGATGATGGCTCCCGTTTACAAGACACATTTCTCTGTCAACAGACTTTGTGGGAACTTCTCAACCATTTTGCAAAGATCAGGTGAGCAATGCAGTGAGAAAATACTTGTTTGCATGGATATCTGCATGACAGTAGTTAGTTGTCATTATGGTGATCCAGCTAAATCCTGGAGATTTATAGAATTTCCATTTATTTGACTGTGTTTTTTCTTTTACAACACAGACATTTGCCTTTTCCTTGCTCTTTCAGATTCGACACTCTGTAGTTTCGTTATTATTTTTTAATCCTGGAGTAGCACTCCTGGTTCAAGGCATAAACTGGTAACAAACTGCTAAGGCTAGGAAGAAACTGTGCTTGGATGTATTGCTGCACCTGTCTTTTACACATACTTGTTTCAAGTCAAGTTACTGCCAGAGTTGAGATGGTAGCCTAGATTATCTTGATCACCAGTATTTCTGTGCTGCGGTTCCATGTGGTGCAGGGTGTCCTTTCTTAAGTGAGTTGCTATTGCTTTTGAGGCTTGCTGTTGTGCATGTTCTTCAAGGAAATCTGGAGCTCTCAGCAGGCTAGTGTGGAATCTACAAAAGTGATTAGATCCTGTTTAAAGGGAAGAATTTCTGGTCCTACATGTATTGAATATATACATGGGTTAGAAATCTTATTATTTGGCTACAGTCTACATTCAGTGCTTTCTTTTGTCTTTAGTTTTGACCTAAAAATACTGTGTTGTTTTGAAATGTCAAGCTAATAAACTTTTCTCCAAAGACAGTTCTTTTATTTTTGTCATGGCTTGGAAGATGAAGCCTTGAAGCTGTGGCAGCCATTCTATTCTGAACGGAATTTCCAAATTTCATTTTTTTTTCTATTGTAGTTGGTTTTACCTTTCTCTTGATAAAATGTTGCGGATTTTTTTTGTGTATGTTGTTTGGTTTGTTTTGTTTTGTTTTTTTTTTTTTCCCCAGATGCTGTATTTCTGGTTTGTTCTTTCTCTTACATTCCTCTCCTTCTGCTGGTTGCTCTGTTGCATTTGAGTCTCTTGCTTGTCTGTACAGATGCTGTGCTATGGTGTTGTGCAAATAGGAACTATTTTTGTTAATTTCTCAAACTGATTAAATACTTATCTAAAGAGACAGTAGCTTTCTGTATCAAAAGTTTTGAAGTCTCCAAGGCTGTTGTGCTAGAAAAGCTATGAAACGAGTAGTCAATAGTAAGGGTGATGGTGCAGTAGCATTCAGATAAGCTCAGTCTTTTAGGGTACAGTTACAGGATGCAAAATAATGGATTGTCACCTGTTAGCTGAGCTGTAGTAATTGACTGGTTATGGCTATGTGTTAGTACTTGACTAACATGTAGTAACATAAATTACTTTAACTGAAGCTTGAAGTTGCTTATTCTACACTGCAATTGAAATAGCCTAAGAAGCATGGTTCTGGGGTTGAGTTGGCTGATGTTACCTCATTAAGTCAGGGTTGCACAGCTGAATTGTGTGACTAGAGTTGCTCCGGAGCTGCTTCCAGGGTGAAGGAACTAATTCTTCCAGCCTTCCAATGATGTGCTGTTAGTTTTCTGCTAGCTTAGCTCCCTCACTGGCCCATAACAAGATCAAAGGAGTGACTAGTGCTGGCCCAAGGGAGGGAGTTTGGATTGGGGACATCTTCAGTGTAGTATTAGGGGATTGAACAGTTAGTGCTCACTTCCTGCCCTCCTTTCTAACTCCTCTTGTACTGTTTGTGCAGCTTTGTGGGGAACAGGCTTAAGTAGCTGATTCAGCTGAAAAATAGTATTTTCCCTATGTTATCTTTCAGGTAGATAAGTTTCCTAACCCAGTTAAGGGTTGTGTCTCATAGGCAGTTATGAAAGAAGTATAGTGTGTCTGGAAGCAAGGATCCAAAAGGAGGAAGCAGCAGATAGGTAGGAAAGGCGTATGTCAGGTTTTTTCTACTCAACGTGTTGTGTCATCAAACTATAGTTTGAGGAAATGCTTGAGGTAGTCTAGTGAATCTTAAAGGGACATAAATTGAGTCTTACTTATCATTCTCTTTTCGTTTTTAATGGTCAGGGACTAGGTCTGCAGTGTGGCATTTACTCTTAAGTCAAAAGGGACAGTCTTTGTGTAAATGCTGAAGAGAAAAGAACTATTTTTCTTTTGATTGAGGAAAGAGGTAGGCAAGAAAAGCCAGGTATAATTTTCCTGGGTGTTTTAAGGCCCCTCTTGTACCTTACTACATACTTTGTGCCCTCTGGGAGGAGGAAAGTGCCTGTTGCAGTTTGGGAACTGCTGGAATGGTGGGAGTGGTAATTATGGACAGTGACAAATAGCCTTTGTGTGGCTTTCTCGCACATTAGTTGGTTATTTCTTTGGTTTAAATTTTGAGCTTTTTATATAACTTTGCTCCTTTGGAGTGGTTTTATTTGTTACGGGTTATTGTAATACTAATAGTTAATATATATGCTGCTCTTTTTAAGTTTCTAACTGCTACAGTGTGCTAAGCGTTATTAACTTCAGTTCATAAGACACAGTTGTTCTTTTCTGCCCTCTGGAACCTGAGCCTAGATCTTTGGATGGACTTTTGATTAAGTTCAACAAGCAGCAAAGATGTTGTGTGTGACTTAATCACAAAACAAGCTGAATCTATAGCCATCCATACAGATTTCATGGGCTGTGCTGCTTTTCAGTGTGAATTGATTCAGTTGACTAACTAGTCAGCTAGTTGTTGACTTTTGCTGAATCCTTCCTTTGACTTTCCAACTGGAGACGTTTTCGTGGAATGCTCAGCTGCTCTAAGTGCGTGAGGGGAAGTATTCTAAATCCACTGGAATTTCCCCCACATTTCCAGCATCCATCTTGGCTAATTGGGTCTGAAGAACGTCTGGAAGCTATTGTAAGGCTGCTCCTCCTCTCAGCGTGTGGCAGTCCTTGCACAAGATGTTTACAGGCCCTGTCAGATCACTACATGAAGGAATCTAATCTGCTTGCAGTTCCCCTTCTGAAGAACAGCACATCAAAGAAATGACAGTGTGTTTGATGTGTGTGCTTGCCTCAGTGAATGCATGTAACGGATTAACAGCAGCTGGAGGAGGAGCCTGCTGGCTTCCAAGAGTTATACAAAAATAAGTCTCTGGAGGATCTTTGCCTGGAGTCTGTTCTGCAGAGACTGGTTGAGGGCAAAAGCATTGCATACCCTTTGAGCATGAGGCCTGGGAGAATGGTTGCTTTTCTGTCTCCCCCTCTTGTCTGTCTAGCAGCTTCAGCAGCTTTGTAGACTGTTTTACACATAAGTGATTGCAGTCTGGACTCTTGAAGACAGTTTTGACAATGACTACGACTCTTTGCTACTTTTGTGGTATCATTCATTAAGTTCAGGTATTTTCCATACATTTTTAGAAGAGTCTTCAGTCCAGAGAGTTGCTTGGATTGAAGTGGAGAGCAGCTTTGGAAAGGTGAATGGAACTAGGTTGTGTAAGTCGAATTGCTTTCCTCACTTACGGGTCTATATGGTGAGGAAGTGTGTTCCACTGTGCCTCGGCTTCTCTCCTCCTGACTGGTGATCATCCACCTTTCCTGATAGACAGGCAACTTAAGGTTCAAGCTTTTATTCCTCTAGGCTGTTTCATCTCCTTTTTCTGTGATTCTGTACTGTTTCCTCCATGTCTCAGCAGTCCTTTGTCTTTTGTGTACTTTTATCGAGGATTCCTTTAGGGGTGTACAGCTGATCCTGATTGGAAGCAAAAGACATTGAAAATAGGTTAGGGATGACCGGCTCTCCTGGGTTGTCTAGAAAAGTGTGAGCGCACGTAGCCTGCTATGGTGTGCTAAAGGTAGTGTCTTAGGTGCTATTTTGTTCCAATCTTCAAATCAAGAGACAAGATTTTTTTTTTTTCCCCCCCCCTGCCTTTCCTCATCAAGAGTTGCCCTTTGGAACTTACTCAGTTACTGCTGCGAAAGGAGTGAGGGAGATCAGAGCCTGGGTCTTGAATCACAGGATTATGCTCGTTCTATGTTAGGAACTTAATCGCTTGATTCCTGCAGAGCATTGTATATGGCTTGCTGCCCTCGACACAGAATAACTAATTGCGGAACTGCAAATGGTGGCAGACCTATTCTAGCGTTGTTTTGGTTGTTCATCTTGAGTTAGAAAGTTAACTATGTTTCATAATCTGAAGCTTGAACATAGTTTGGATGCTCTGGGTGTGTCTGTCACTTTCTGCACAAAGGTATGTGGTGTGGTGGCTGGGAGAAGTGTTCCGAAAGAATGGTACCTCAGAACTATAAACCCCTTGTGATCTGTTGCAGCTGGTCTGGAAGTACTTCTCAGCCCCAGCTTCCCTAAACCAGACAGGACCCTCAGGACTGGTGTTACGGGTTACTCTGCTTGGATTTGCTAACTCTAGTGAGTGGAGCGTCTCAGTTTCGTTGTGTTGTGGTTTAACCCCAGCTGGCAGCAAAGTACCACGCAGCCGCTCGCTCCCTGGTGGGATGGGGAGGAGAATTGGGAAAAAGGTAAAATCCATGGGTTGAGATAAGAACAGTTTAATAATTGAACGAAGATTAAATAATATTAATAATAGTAATGAAAAGGAAGATAACAAGAAGAGAGAGAGAAATAAAACCCAAGAAAGACTGGTGATGCACAATACAATTACTTGCTGCCTGCTGACTGATCAGCAATTTTGGAGCAGCGATCAGCCCGTCCCAGCCAACTCCCCTCCGTTTATATACTGGGCGTGCAGTGGTATGGAATATCTCTTTGGCTTTTTGGGGTCAGCTGTCCTGGCTGTGCTCCCTCCCACTTTCTTGTGTACCTCCTCACTGGCAGAGTATGGGAAACTGAAAAGTCCTTGACTTGGGGTGAGTACTGCTTAGCAACAACTAAAACATCAGTGTGCTATCAGCATTATTGTCGTACAAAATCCAAAACACAACGCTGTACCAGCTACTAGGAAGAAAATTAACTCTCTCCCAACTGAAACCAGGACACATTGTGACTGACCTTGTTCCATATCACCATGCCGTTGCATGCTTTATTTAGATAGGCTTAAGTTTTAAACTTTAGATCAAGACAGGAGATAGACTGCTACAATTAAACCAAACAGAGATCTGAGTTCTGGTCTGTGCTTAACAGGTTTGCTTCCCCACATCCTCCAGCTGGAAATCTTTGATGTGCTCTTGCTCTTGAGGATTACTCAAGGATTGAGTATCACCATTTTCCAGGTAGCTCTCAATCCTGAGTGACTTCTGGTTCCAGCTATTTCACTTACATTTCATTGAAGCTGAGTTTTGAGTCTAAATGTAAATGTCCTTGATGAATTTTCTTGGAACTTAATGGCTATTTCCCTTCATTTTCTACTGTGTACACTGGTTGACTTCTTCCCTGTTCAGTTTGTTTTGTCACTTTGTGCTGGGCTAAATAGATTAATGTTAAAATATGTAAGACATTGATTGTATATGTATTCTTCTAAGCTGCTCATCTGTGATGTATTTTGGACATAATAGAAAGACTACATAAGATAATATTGGCAAAGCTATTGTTAAGTAACTGAACATTATGTTGATACTTAAGATTATTGGAACCGCTGCATTAAAGTAGTAAGATGCATTTGAGTATGCGAAGTCTTGTCTTCAGCTGTGCAAGCAGATTGCTAAAGTGCTAAGGGTTATTTTCTTTCTTTCTTACCTGAACAGAAAATACTGTCCTTGTCTTAAGGTGGTCTTTCCGTAACAGTTGTTATAATAATCACCTTTAGGTTGGGTTTATTGCATGCCTTTTTGTAGATTTACCAGCTATGAAATAGAAGCTTTTTCTAACAGTGGTAGTCATTGTGGCCACAGCACAGACATGCTATGTAATGTACATAGTCACTTCAGAATTAGATGCTTGGTTGACTGAATGGATTTTGACTGTTACTTAAGGGATCCTTTTCCTACATAAACCTTGGAGATAACTTTGTATCTGGTGATATTGCATCCCAAAATACATATGTTTAAATTACACGATGCTGAAGGCAGAATGTTTTAAGTAGTGGAACTCTGTTCATTAAACTCCTTTCCAGGAAAAGTCAGAATGAACCCAACCTTGATCACTGACATCTCTTTCTTATCGTCATAAGGTTCCATCCCATGGGTATGACGCTGACAAATTAAAGCACAAGATAGAGAATGAGTCTCTGAAGGTACAAGTGATAGGTGTAAGTGATGCATGAGACGTAAGCAGCCTGAGTTCCTGCTTAAATTTTGTGACACTTGGACACCAAGTTGATGAATGTTCTGCAAAAACATTTAGGAGAATGTGTGGCTGTGGCTGCTACTGCAGAATGATAAACAATGCAGAGAAATGATTGAAGCAGAAATATATTTCAAAAACTTCTGATTTTCAGTGAAAAATAATGGATTTTTTTTCAGGCTGCTAGGGTCCTGTAGGTTTTGTTTTTTCCTGTGAAGTTCACTGCAGAGACTAGAATCTGGTGACTGAAGAGGCAGTTAAGTGCGAGTCTTCACATAACCCTGTAAGTCAGTCATTTGCAAAGCTCCTCATGAGATCAGTAGTCAGCACTGGCGTAATAGGGCATAAAATGACAAGCTGACTTCAGGGACTAGTTTTGGCCTCTTTTGTCAGAGGCCTCAGGAGATGGGCAAGGATGTGTCGCTTTACTGGGCTGTCAGGTGGATTTCATGAGCTGATCTGCAGAGAGGTGGTTTCTCTTCACCTCGCCCAAGGTGCTGAGTGATTGTTTCCTGGTGGGATGAGGCATAGGGGAAAGCCTGCTTTTTTTTTCTTTTTTTTTTTTTTTTTTTTTTTAACCCGGAGACTGGACTCCTGAAAGCACTAAGATCAAGGGACTTTACCATGAGGAAGAATTTCAGCTGTTTTGCCTTTGACAGTAAAACAACTGTTGCAGCACAGGTGGTATGTACAGCTCCTTACCAAGGGTTGTCCTGATGCAACTGCAATGACAAAGAGCTCCGGGCGGAATGTGCTAATGAGCTACTGGAGTGTTATGGAGAAGGATAAATCTCATCAGTTCTGTTTGTGTTGATAGGGAATATCCTGGGGCAACTTCCTCACCTTTTGTTTTGTAGTTTCCCCTGCTAAGTTAGCCTGAAACTTTTGAAAAAAATGGTTGTGAGAATTCAGCCAGTTATCTTTTCAAACCACCACTGTTTCAGGATGGACAGTGTTCTCCTGCTCACCTGTTGCCATTAGTGTGCTTGGGGGAGAGAAGCAAACTGTTCTTCTCCTTAAGTTCATGTTTTACCACGTTGACAGCTGATTTCAGTTTGAGTTTCATTTTGCTGAAGGGGAGACCAACATGAGAGTGAGTTTCTTCTGCTGTTGAATCTAATTCTCTCACTGATTTCAGTACTTCGGTACTGGTTAATTCTTTAAGGCTTTTAACTTTTCTACAGACATCTGAGGTTTCCTTGCTAAAAGTGTTAGTTCATTTTATTTTATTTTTTCCACTGAGAACACCTTGTTGTAGGGTTTTCCATGTGTGCCGTCTTTTGAAATTGCATGATCTTGGATGGATGAGAACTGAGACTTGCTGTGACAGGCAGTGAGTGATTTTTTTTCCCTGTCCATCTTCTGTGTTTGATCAAGTGAATATGTAATAAAGCTTCTCTTCTACTTGAATGCCTCAGAATTGCTTATCCAGAGAAAAATGGGAAGAGTAGTATCTTGTCAAGAGTAGCACCTTAACTGTTTTTTCCCCTTCTCTATGCTAAGAGTCCTTCACTTACGTCCTCCTCTGCAGATGGCCTATCAGCAGTTTGCGTCATTGCTAGTATGTGTCCTGCCTCACTGAAACGCTTAAATGTGCATTGATCTTCACTTTGTCTACAGCAGCAGCCTTTCCTTCGGCTTTATTTTGTCCCTGGTCTCTAGCATTTGAAAGCTCCTGCTGTTTCCTTTTTTCTTTTTTGTTTTCTTTTTTTAATCTGTCTGATACTAAGATAAGCAAATTCTTTATCCTCTGATTATTTGCTTTAGACCAGTATTTCATTCTGTTTGTTGCTAATGTATACATGGAAAGAAACTGACCTATCCCCAAGGACAGTACAGTCTAAACTGTAATAAACTATTTAACTTAGATCAGGGATTAAAAAGAGTAAGTATTATTAAGTCATGTTCCAGATTGGGTACTGAGACACATGAAGAATGATTTGCTCAAATTTACCTAGTAAGATCGATAAATTTCAGAATTAACTTTAATTATGTCTCCTCTGTCTTTAAATTTTCAAGACTGTGTTTAAGGAACAGTTGAATGCATTGGAGCAAATTCTTTACCTAACGTCTAATACTGACTCTGTGAACTGTGTAATGGTTGTTGCTGGAGGAAGGAGGAAAGTGTTGCTAGCTAATTTCACTTCTTACTATTGCTCTATGTTGGTTTTGGAGGTGGTAGACCGTTCTACAGATGCTGCAGTAGTTTGCTGTTTATTGCAGGGAGTTTATGGAACAGCGTGGTGAATTCTCTCCAGTCTGTATTTACATGCGAGATGAGGTAAGTCAGCAAAGTCTTCTTAACTGTCTCTTCTCCTTCTGTCCCTAAAAAATAAGAAAAACTCAGCTCTGCTTTCCAACCTGGAAAGCATTTCTTTTGAACTTTTTTGAGAGGGGAAGTAGTGAGATGTTGGTCTTTTCAGAGCATGATGTGTCTGTATGGAAAAAAGCTCTCTTGGAACGTAACCCTGGGCCGTTTAGACCTCTGAGCCCATAAAAGGAGCTCAGTGACCTGTTTGTGTTTTTCTTTCCAACTTCTTTTAAAGCTTGAGTCAAAACAGTGGTTTCATTTTAATAAATATTTGCTTTTCTCTGTGTTTTGATCTTTTGCTATTAATGTTTTGTTTAATATTTTGTATGTGCGTATTATGGAATTTGCTCTCCCTAACTGTCCCTTTCACTTCCCACTGATCTCTGTGGACAGATCATCTTTATTCTGGAACAGGTCATTACAAGCAGATGGGAGGTATATGTAATGAAATTGGCTGTCTTTCAGCTCTGAGATATTGCCTGTGATTTAGCTTCTGACATAACAATAATGCTTTGCTGAGGTTGGATCTGATTTGGATGGATGATTGGGATGGAAATATGTGTAGGTCATATTCCCTTGAGATCATTTAGTAAGCAGTGAATTTGATAAAGCAGTACTGGTGAATACAGATGGATTCAGGTCTCATTTCCAACTGCATAAAAAGTGTGTTTTAAGCTGCTTCTGGTGCTGTGTGTTGTTTGTTTTGATAAAGGCTTCTTTCTAGAAAGAGCACTTTAAATGCTTGTCCAGGTAAGCAGTTGCCATAATGGCTTTCCTCTGTTTTTGTTGCAGATATCAGGAAAAGATGCCCTAGAGAAGACAACACTGAAGTCACTTGGCCTGACTGGAGGCAGTGCCATCATCAGGTTGAGAGGAGCAAAGTTTGGATTCTTTACTTTTTCCTTTCCACTCTGGTGGTGAATTTGTTTTGTTTCAAATACCAAAAAAAGAAAAAAAGGCACAAAAAAAGTTCAAAAAGACAAACATCGCAGCACTCAGTAATTATTGCATTTGCCTGTTTATCTGAAACTTCTGCCCAGATGTACTTCCCACAGCTGCAGATGCTGGCACTGACCAGTCATGTGCAGATTAAAGGGGCTTGTTTGCTTCTTTCTTTCTTTTTTTTTATTTTCCTCCCCACCACCAGCCCCCCTACCCCGTGAGTGAAGCAGACAATTCAAAGTTAAAAGTCACTCTGAGAGGACGATCATCGACCACTTCATTCTTCCCTGCTATGCATTTCAGGCATTAAACTCCCAATCCCTGCAGTGCCTCCTGCTGACTCTTTTGGAGGGTGAGGTGGGGGACAATGACAGCCTTTCTGTGATCTTCTAGCCAGTTCTTTGCAGTATATACAGAAGGCAGGAGTGATTAGAAGCTGCGCTTTACAACTGACTGCTGTTTTTTCCTGGAAGGCAGTTTTCTTCCTGTGGAGTGGGTAGTTCCTGTTCTGGTTTTTTGCGCAAACTCCTGACCCCCCACCCCTAACCTCAGAGCAACTGGAGCTTGTACTTTGTGAGTGTCTGGAAGGAGCAGATAATTAAATTAGGGGTATATTTAAGTCTAGCTGTCTTTTTTGTGTTATGGTCACATTGAGAATGGGGAGGGCTGTGCAGTTAGGATAAATGATTTTGGTTTTATTCCTTTTGGTGTCTTCTTTAAGAGTTGTCATGAAGAAATGCAGTTCATCTGGTCGAGAGGAGGCTGTGGGTGCCACGGTGCGGTGTAATGAGCTGACTGTGAGGCCAGGCCCTATTGAAGGAGCAGTGGATGTGCCCCTACCTCAAGCAAACACATTCCCAGAGAACTTGGACCACGAGGATGTGACCATGTCTTTAAACAGCTGCACAAACAAGCAAGACTCAATTAGAGAATCTCATGCCAGCTTAGAGGAGCTGCGGCCTTACTCAGAGCCTGAGTCTACCCCATTTGTCCCTTTTTTTGGAGATGGACAGCGTCTGGGGGACTCTTCTGTAGTTGCACCATCTCTTGGGTTAGATATGCCATCTTCAAAGCTGCCAACAACTTTTTCCACCCCTGGAGGCCCCTCTAAGCCAAAGAAGTCTAAGAACAGCCAAGACCTGCAGAAAGAGCAAGAACAGGTAAGGGAAAATTTGATTGCAGTGAGGGCTTTTTTTCATCCTGCCCTGCTCGAGGCTGAGCTCCTGTGAGGAAAAAGGTGTTTCCGTATTTAAGACTTTTTCTCTATAGTATAGGGTTAGGTGCCTTGGTGACATACAATTCTGCTAAGAGTTCAGTAAAGAAATACTGTGTTTTGGATGGTTTACTATAGGAAATATGAAGAATGGGAATTTAAGAATTTGGTGTCCAGAGACAAGCGAAGCTTTGAACCTTGAGATATCCTTGATGAATGGTTGTAGTGGAGGCAACACAACTGCATTAAAAGCACAGTCCTGAAGAGCCTTGATCTCTGTGCCTCAAATTCCATGCAAATTTCATTAATAAGTACCCACTTTGTCACCTGATCCCTGCGTACTTGTCCTTCTTTTAAAAAATTGCTATCTGCTTTGTAGTTTTGCTAAAGATGAGCAGAGTTTGCTCAGACTTGTCTTTTGTAATACTCTGAAGGTGCTTACTGCTTGTTGTAACTAACTTATCTCCCAGATCACACAGAAGGTGTAAGCTTGGTAGAGTTTTAGATATGGAAAGGGATAACTTCTCTAGCTTGTTGTAGGATTGTCCTAGGAGCAGATGTAGTCTTAATAGGTTTGTTGCAACTTGATCCTGTGACTTCCAAGATCTGAGAAAATGGCCAGGGTTTCTAACTTGGGTTGTAAGATGTGCTCAGATTTCTCATCTGAGGCTTTCTGTGGAACATGGAACTCCATAGTAAAGCTATTGTAAAAGCAATATCCCATGCTGGTAGTTGTTAACATCTGCTTCCTCAGATTTTCTTCTGCCTGTGGTCCCTCTGACTTTTAGTTGAACTCTTTCAGTGACACGTGTGGTAGAATGTAAGGGATGTAGACCTAGGAAAGGAATTTTTCAGCTACAGTTGCATCTTACTTGCCAAGAGTTCAATATTTGAAAAAAAAAAACACCCAAACAACAACAACAACAAAAAAAAAACAAAACAAAACCCCCCCCCAAACCCACCTCCCCCCAAAAAAACCCCAAAAAACCAAAAAAAAACCCCCAAAACCAACCAACCAACCGAATAAAAAAACACCAAAAAAAGAAACCTCCCCCCCAAAAAACAACAAACCCCAGATCTGGACCTCTTCTCTTCCTTTCAGTCTAATCCCGTCCCTTCTGTGAGTCTTAATTTTCTTAGTATTGTAGATGAAGCAGAAACCTTCCATCCTTTTCCTTCTCTATTTCTGCTTGTATATAAAAGTGTTTCTGTCTTGCTCTAAAATATCCTGTTTCTTAAATAAAGTCTACCTCTGTGTAACTCTTTTCCCAGAAAGACAAATTGCACATCTAGCATCATTGGTAGTGACTCTGAAGTAAAACTGTGTTGGTTAAAATTAAAAATGCTTTAGCCCATGTAGAGATACCAGAACTGATGGCTCAAGAGTGCTGTGATGCCATCACAGGATGGCCTTTGAATGATGTTAAGTGTGCTTTCTGTAGGGCAGCTGTATGGAATTGAATGCCTTCAGCAAGGTTGGATATGTCTGGCAAGTAGTGTGAAATGAAGTACAGGAGGCATTAAATTCATAACTTACTCCACATTATTGTGCTTTGGGAGTTTCACATCCTGGATTCTCTGTGAGCAGCTCGTTCCCTTGCCCCCTCACTGCAAACATCATCGCTAGGACTGGCTTTAGCGTTGAAGGAATCCCCTTCATTGTTTCCCACTCTTTAGTACCTCCTAGAGTTGGAGTTTTGCATTTATCTCTGGTTCTGATCCAGCCACGGGATTAAACAATGGAAAACCATAAGTAGAAAGAAAGGGTGCCTGATAAAGTTCAAAGGGAGCTCAATCCAGGAGGAATTTAGCAAGACTATGTGTATGCTGTCACGTTGATGTAGGGATTCTACCTTGGTTGACTTCTTCGTAGTTGCAGTCCATTCTTGATGGATTTCTGAATTGTTCAGGAGCCGAAGCCAGACCCTAGAGGGACTCTGGAGCAGTTACAAATGTAGCAGAAAGAGGCCTTGCCAACCAGTGGTGAATACTTCAGTGTATTAGAAACACATTTGGGTCCATCTAATCACTATTGTTTAACCTTTTGGAATAGACCCTGAGGACGGAGAACTAAACAGTAGGCTGGGTGATTTGCCCAGTCTAATGTGTTGCTTGCTTCAATCACACTCTCACCTATGAAGGATTTGGAAAGGAGGAGTTTCAGTTGTGTCTGAAAAGGAGGGAGGAAAGAAGTGTGAGGATTTGTGGTGGTATTCTTCACCATTGCTGTTGTCTGCACTTCTCCATATGCTGGCTGGAGAGACAGAGTGCATTTTATCATTTTACTGGCTACAGCTTAATGTGAAGTTGTGCTCTTGGGCTCAGAGCTGAACAGCGTTGGCCTAAGGACTCTCATGATCCGGCATCTTTCTCAGAATTGCAGTCCAGTTCAAACCACTCAGAGGCACTTCTGGAGCCAGCTTCCCTTCCAGTTTGAGAGCAGCTTTGGAAGCAGCTGCAGATTCTGTTGGGGGGGGTGGGTGTTCTGCCCTTGTGTTAAACAGCATGTGATTTTGACTGCTGCTTTCAAGCCCTTTGATCTCTGGTGCTTTTGCTGCTGATTGATTACATTTTGTTCCCTCCTCCATTCCTGCCATCCTCTGCTCTCCTTGCTCTCAGCAGCAGAGCAGGGCTAGCCACATGGCATCTGCTTTTTGTCCCTTTTCAGTCCTGAGGAAAAAACCCAAAACAAAACAAATTATTTTTAAACATCAAAGGTCCATTTTTGTAAAAGAATCTTCTCATTAATGCTTTGCCTGTGTGTGGTTTTTGAAGCTGAAGGGAGAGGCTGGATAAAATCTGTGCTGGCGTCCCTTCATTTCTTGGGCTAAAGATGGTTTACAGACAGCTGCATGCTGACTTTGATGTCAGAACATTAATTATTAGGAGGTAACTTTACACCAGATTGCCCATGAGATTAGAGCTCCCTGAGGTGTTGGGGAGGAGGTGGGTCTCCAGGAAGAGCTGTGGAAAGCACAGCAGCCACTGCTTCACTTAAAATGAGATAAAAGTTTTCCTCTGCTTACCTGCTTACTTAGGTCTGAAGTGGTGACCATAGAGTGAACTGCATTCTTCCTGACACCTGGCTTTATTGCACAGACGGCGGATACACAGGCTGCCTGGTAGACACTGCTAGGAACAGATGGCTTCAGCCTACTGGTGAAAAGTGCCCAGCATCTCGACTTTGGTAGTCAAAGTAGAGACTTTGAAGAATGAAGGTGACAAACCCATAATGCAGCATCTTTGGCTCCTGATAGGTATCGCTGACAGAAATATGACAGCAAAATGCATGGCTTGCTTTCCTTCAGAGTTACATAATGAAAGGTAGAAACTGCTGTATGGTGGCCACTTATTATTACAGGAGATGGTTACCTTTTGTTATGGTTGCAGAAAACACTAGATGTGTAGTGAACTGGGAAGCAAGTTGGTGTACCTGGTAGCCTCCTTTTTGTAAATCACGATGAGAAGGTAGTTCTCGGATTCTGCCTGCACTTTAGAGTTGCTGATGACGCATTAAAATAAGGCTGTATTGAGAGTACTTAGATTGAGAGATACCTAAGTGAGCAAATGGTAAGGGATGAAGAAAGGAACAGGATGATGCCTGGACTCTGGGGAAAGAGAGAATTGGTAGAGCAACAGGAATGGATACCTCTTTCTCTCTGAAGAGTGTTTCTTACATCTGTAAGGAGGCGAGGTGTATGGTTGATTCCATGGGGTGTTAAATACATGGCAGAAGAGGTATTATGGTATTACTATGATGTGGCAGTCTTTGCATGCTCAGATGCAAAACGATGACGTCTTTTGATTGCGAAGCAGTGCTTAGTAGCCACCTTATGCTGCCCTTCTCTGATCGGACACTGTTGTGCAATTCTGTAATTGAGTTGCAGAAACTCTGAATCAACCCGCCTGAATTATGTTTCACAAAAATTCGTTTATTACAGCTCTCTCCAGAGGTCTCACTCTGTTATTGGGGGTTAGCTGAAAATTTAATATTAGGGAATTCTTACTCTAATTGTGTATTTCTGCAGTCTTGTTAGATATGCACAGATCTGCTCCTTCTTCTGTATAGCAAAGTATGTTTCTTCATGTTAAGTAGTAGACAAGTAACGTGTCTTGGTTTGGAAGTTAAGATATTCAGCATTTAATGTTGGCTGAGGAAACAGGTAAAATTATAGACTTAGGAGCTAAAAGGTAGCTGTCTGTCTGTGTGGAGCCAGTACCCCGAATGGGGACATCTTGGCTGGATGTAAGTCGGAGGTCAAGAATAAGGCATTTATGTCTGGGAAGTGGTGGATTTTGTATCGCAGCACATGCATAGTTCTGGTAGGCTGGGGAGTGGCTCTGGAGGGGAAGTTCCTGACTGCCCGTTTGCAGTACCTTGTTGGCAATGGAGACCCATTTGTTCGAACGAAGATGTCTGGAAAGCGACGCTTGAATGACAGTTCTAAAATACAGTGGTCTGGAGCAGTGAACAGACAGCGAGGAAGAGGACTGAATACTTAGGACTGGGGTATATGTCTACCTTCTGCTGTCTCATGATTTCTGATGTCTTGGCTGAAGTCTTTAGCTACTACCATGGTTTGGGCAGTGACTGATGCTTTCTCTGTGGAATCCTGCTACTGTTAGGGTTAGTTAAAGTGCTTGCTAGAGCCCATACTTGGAATTGCTAATGCAGATATTGGAATTCTCTCCATTGTATCCCAACACCCTTCACAGCATGCCATAGGATATGCCTGCTTAGTTTGTTTGGAGTGAAATGAAACTTAAGCCTGTTTGAGGAGATTGAAGTATACCTGATTATTGAGGAGACCTGATTAATTCTCCTCTGGCCTCTGACATCGATCGGACCATACCAGACAGGCTGCTGGCAGCAGTTAGGACCGCTGTGCAGCAGGCCCTTTCCCAGAGGGTGGCTCTGCGTGCTCAGGATCACTCCTGCGGCACTGGGCATTCCTCCCCTTGAGCCCCCAGAAAGCTGCAATCAGGCTCCTTCACCCGCTAGTTAGGGCTGACCCTGCTCAGCTTTCTAAAAGTAGCCAAGGGTCCCACCCACACAACCTTGCTCTTTTAATTTCTCAAATTACCCTTTAGTGCCCACAAGCAGAGCGAACATTGCCTTGTAATTTGTGTTGTCACTTTTGACAATTGAGGGAGACTCCTTCTGTTCCCAAGGGGCCTGTGCCTAGGGGAAGGGAGGATAGATGGAACAGACGGAGAGAGGACATTCGGGCATTAATTAGCATTGGAAAGAGTAAAGGGAGAAGAAATGGGCATCAGGCTTGTTCATAGAGCCTAGAGCTGTGTTAGGCTGGCAGCTGACTGTAAAGAAATGCTGTATTAACTATCAGAGTTTTCGTTCTCGTGGGGCTCTTCAGTCATGGACTGCTTCCCCCGCTGCATGTCCTGTAGCTTGCAATACACTATTCTGTTTGTTTTCAAGCTTTGTGTATTTAAACATTTCTGTGATTTGAAAAGTTTGGATTGTTCAAGAGCCAATAGGTGTAACTGCCTCTTGTGTATTTGACTCTGGTAGTGGTTTATATTCGCATACGGACACAGCTACTGCTTTGACATAAGGTAAGTAGCTAGTATCTAACCTTTTCTAAATTGAGAGGGATACATAATGTCGTTCTCCCTTCAGAGACAGCAAATGCTGTTTGTCTGATAGGTTGCACGGGGTGGTTGGGGTTTCGGTTTGGGTTGGGTTTTTTGGGGGTTGTGGGTTTTGGTGTTAGTGTGTGTTTGTTTGTTTTTTAAATAACTGCAACCGCAGTTATAGGCCAAAATACAATTGTGCTGAAAAGTTTGCCATCGTGATATCCAGCTCCTAGTTCTGGGCTCTGGAGGCAGGGGGAGCAGAGCGGCCAGGCTGCCTGTGCCCTGCTGTACAGGTGAGAGGGGTATCTTGGCTGTCTGAGGTCTGTGTGCTGCTTGAGTGGCCTGTCCTCAGGATCTGGGATGTGGGGAAAGATGCCAATAAATATACTAAGTACCTTTATTGCAGCTAATACGTACAGTGCACTGCTCCCCTCGCATCTGCTTTACCTGCAGCAAAAGCTGGTTTCAGTGCTAAGTACTTTGTAAGTGCAAAACAAAAGGGTTTTCACTGTCTGCGGGAGCTTTCTGCACACCACAAGCCAGGTTAAAAAGTTGAAAGCCGTACAATGAAACCGCGCAGTGACTCTGTTCAGAGAACTCAACAGGTCAAAAACTGCCTTACCAAAAGAAAGGGTTGCTCTCTAGAGTAAGAAGAAATGGAGCGAGCCCTGGTTGGGAGCTAGTGCTGTTGATTCTGTGGCAAGAGAATGTGAAGCAAAGAGAACAGAAGATACAACGCGAGCCAGGAGTGTATGGTAGATGAAAAACTTAGAAGGGCAGTTTGTAGTATGAAGAATAGCACCTGTGTAAGTTGTACGCTGCCTGTAGAACAGTAAGGAAGTGATTGTATACTGAGAGAGGGAGGTTATGGCTTTGGGATAGGAGTAATTTCTGAGTACTTGTAACAAGCTTGCAGCTAGCTTAAAGTATGGTTCAGCTGCAAAGATCCTTGTATTGTAAGTAAAGAGATTCCACAGGGATTCACTGAAAAGGAGTCATCTTTCCGTACGTTAGGTGACTGCTGAGGTTATTACCCTGGGCTTCCTGTACTGACAGTGGAGAGCAGCTAACTGCTAGGGTGTGACTCACCTGACAATATAGATTACTACTGCTTGTTGGGAGGAATTGCACCCCAAGGTCTATCAGCTATAAAGGATGACAAGACTGACAACGTCTGTATCATTGGTCTTACCTTAGTGACATGAATTCCGGACTAGTGATTGTATTTCAGTTTGCAAATCCTGTCCTTTTACTTTTTTCAGGAACCTTATAGCATAAGCAAAGCAATGCATTTAAGACTAATCGAAGCTCATTTTTATTCTGTAGCTTGTAGAACGAGAGGCACTTGTATGTCACCTAGACCTACTAGAACCGCTTCCTGCTGGCCCAGAAGAGCTACCTGATGAGTTTTTTGAAGTCACAGTTGATGATGTACGGAAACGTTTGGCACAGCTGCAGAGTGAGAGGCAAGTTCCCTTTCTGCTGGTGACTGAGATTGCTCCATATCCTTTTGTTGAGCAGAGTGACACTGTGCACCTATACCTGGCTGTGATCTCTGGGTAAAGGGTTGTAGATAAGTTACTGGATGTGGAATTAATGATTAATGATCGGCACTGGAAACCTCTACCCTTTATGCCATTTGAGTTCAAGGGCTATGTCCTGTTTCTGTGACAGAACCTATGTTTTTGTGTGAATCGGTTGAGCATTTGTGCGTGCGATGATGGTTTCACATGGATGTTGAAAACTTCATCATGAAGTGTCTGTGATGCCTTTGTGGTGATAAGTTTGTCTGAGAACCTCAAGCTAATCAGGAATAGGCCCTCACTGAAAAAGGATTAAGAGAAAGATTCCTTCCTGTATCCTGCATTTCATGCAGCTACTCAAAACCGCTTAACACCCCACCTCTTTTTCTTTCTTTCCTTCTCCCTTCTTCTGAAAGAGGAGCCGCTGCCTTTGTAATTTGATGTGCTCTTATTTGCTAGAGACCCAAAGCAGTGGTGAGCTCCTGCTATCTGTTTTGATCTGACTTCACATTAACTATTTGGAATTAAACGGATGGAATTTGTAACTTGTGATGGACGAACGTATGAACACAATGATCCAGCTTCGTAAGAATAACTCCCACTGACTTCAGTAGTAGCTAGTAGCATTTTCGGCCAGTAAGAAACACCTTGTATTTTAAGTAGCAGAATTAACCTTTTATTAGACCTCGTCAGAAAAGACCAACTTTGAGACGTTACCCAAATGGAAATAAAGCAAAATCAAACTTAGCCACAAATCAAGACATGAGAATGTTTGGAATGCACACAAAAAGGGGGAAGAAGTATAGAAAGTTGGCCTAACTATGTATCTCACTGTATGAGTAGCTTGCTGTCAAATATTGATGATTTTACTGTACTCTTATTCCAGTTCTGAACTGAAAACTCAACCTCCCTATCACAACAGCATTTTGCTTTCTATATGTTCCTTAAAGAAATTAATTTCATGAATGTATTTAGTTTCAAGTGGATCATAACATTCTTTTAAGTATTACAAGCATCCTCTGAGGCTGTGGGATAGCCTGCTTTACACTGTAACCAAGTCTGAGTTGAACCTTTTACTTAGAACTGATTTTTTTTTTTTTTTTTCCTCCGCGGGCTGCTGAAATCCACAGATTGGCCTAAAAATGGCTCTGCTGCTTGTGGGTCTGGAGTATTTAGTGGTACAAATGTAGGATCATTTGGTTGGGGGCTACTGGAATGCAGTCCCCTCAAAAAAAGACCTAATTTCTACACTTGCTGATACTTGCAATCCCTTTTCCCCTCAGAGCCAGGGATTAAAAATAAAGCCAAGTTACACATGAAAATGATACCGGTTGGCTTCTGATCTCAGCTGGTGAATCTTACCAAAAAATAGCTGTATACAATGCAATATTTCAAATGCAATTAGAATTTAATTCTGACTTCATGAAGAGCTGAGAATTGGTATGAATCAGCAATTGGTACACAAAGAAGGAAGAAAGTGGGTTGGTTTCATGTTTGCTTTTCGGATTGTGAGTCGGCACTTTCAGAGCATCTTGGAATGTGGTGTACCAGCTGACGGTTCTGGGTACACTTGGTGAAGTATGCCTGTAGTGGTTTTCTTTAGCAGCTGTTCCTGAGATGCGTTGATGATTCTTAAAAATAAAAAGAGGTCCTTCAAATTGTATAGGTGTGATTAACTTGCAAATAGTTCTGCAGAATTACATGATCAATTGTTTCACCAAAATCTAACCTAGGAAATTGGTTATTCAGAATTAAGTGCAAACAAGGAAAAGGGACTAAAGCTGAACATGGGATCTGTTGCATCTGAGCTTATTTCTTTACTTACAGGAAAATAAATAATTGTTTTCTTGAATGTATTGTTTTATCTTAAATGCAGGTGGATTTTTTTTTTTTACACCCACTAGTCCTTTTAAAACACCAGTCTACAATGCCAGCTCTTGAATGATCTGAAACTTCTCTTTTTTGTTTTGTTTCCCTGTTGCTAATTAATACCCATTAATTTCTTGTGCTAGCATTGTTTTTCAGCTTCAGTAGCTCTTCTCCCTCCCTGGAGTAATCACGTCCAACTTTAGTCTCTGTTTTATTGGATTAATAAATCCATCTCTTAAATAGTCTAAGCAAATATTCCCCTGCTCTTCTTAGTATCTTTTCTGACATCTGCTGTAGTGAACGTATTTTTAAACTTGTACAAGAAAAGTAATTTTATACGGTATTGTTGCTGATGTTCAGTAGTTCCATATGTGAGGTTTTGGGTAGGAACCACAGAAGGTGGTGGAAAATGCTGTGAGGGTACATGGAACAGTTGAGCGGTTCTCATCAGCCCTGCTTGCACCTTTTGCTTCCTTAATAAGATAAAAATACATCTTAATATTACAGAAATGACAGCTTGTCTTCTTCCCATGTATCTAGGAAACGCCTGGAAGAAGCTCCACTGATGACAAGATCTTTGAGGGAGGCTCAGCTGAAGGAAAAGTTAGAGCGTTACCCAAAGGTAGCCTTTGTTCTTTTTCCGATCCCTCTGGCTAGTCCAGACTTGGGGATTGAGTAACTATGGGAATCAACTGTGATCAACAGGACCTTGAGCTACTTACAGGAAGACTTTTTTCAAATTTTCGTCCCTGTTAATTGTTTATGGGACTTGCTTAACAGTTGTACCATGTAAAATCAGCTGTCCTATAATGATAGCGTGGCCAGCAGGACTAGAGAAGTGATCGTCCCTTTGTACTCTGTGCTGGTGAGGCTGCACCTTGAATACTGTGTTCAGTTTTGGGCCCCTCACTACAAGAAGGACATTGAGCTGCTGGAGTGTGTCCAACGAAGAGCAACAAAGCTGGTGAAGGACCTGGAGAACAAGTCTTATGAGGAGCGTCTGAAGGAGCTGAGGTTGTTCAGCCTGGAGAAAAGGAGGCTGAGGGGAGACCGTTTCGCCCTCTACAACAACCTGAAAGGAGGTTGTAGCGAGGTGGGGGGTCGGTCTCTTCTCCCCAGTAACTAGCGATAGGACAAGAGGAAACAGTCTCAAGATGTGCCAGGGGAGCTTCAGGTTGGATATTAGGAAGAATTTCTTTACTGTAAGAGTCATTAAGCATTGGAACAGGCTCCCCAGGGAGGTGGTGGACTCGCCATCCCTGGAGGTGTTCAAAAAACTTTTAGATGTGGCTCTGCGAGACATGGTTTAGTGGGCATGGTGGTGTTGGGTAGAAGGTTGGACTTGGTGATCTTTGAGGTCTCTTCCAACCATAACAATTCTATGATTCTATGATATGGCTGAGTGACAGGCAATATAGGTCCTTTTATTTTGTTCCAGGTGTTTCAAAACCCTTATGTTGTGCACACATCAGTCTGTATGACTGAGCTTTCCTATCTGCCTCTCCTCTGTAAACTCCTACATTTTGATACTATCTCATTACAAGTTAAATGGTAAGATGTTACAGATTGGAAATATCTGACTCTGTAAATACGATCCTAATGCAGTTTTTGTCTTTGGTGATTTATTGGGAAAAAAAAAAAAAAAGGAGATTAAGTTCCCAAGTTAAGTGCTTTCTGACCAATGCTGGAAATAGGATGGTATGAGTTACTTCAGGCATATGGCCAGAGGATTGCTGCTGCTATGGACACTTCAGGATACTGATACACTGTCTGTACCTGTCTATGGGTGACTTTCTACTTTGTGCATCACTTAGCACAGGGAGCTCCTACTCTCTGAAAAAGTGCTGCTGCATTGTACATCATACTGTTTCTGTAGATCAGCTCTCTTACAGCCTTTGAAAGCCAGACAGCCTGTATTCTCTGAGGAGCTGCACAGTAATTATTAGCCAGTATACTATTCTACTCCGGTAGAGTAAATATCTCAAATCTCCCCATTTAAAAAAACCCACCTTGCTCGTAAATTCTAAGCCAAGGACAGATGTTACAGAACAGCTATAAACAATTGACCTGATGTACTTTGCCTCTGACTTAGGTGGTGTTGAGAGTCCATTTTCCAGACCGTCATTTTCTACAGGGGTTCTTCCATCCTAGTGAAACTGGTAAGAGAATCTCCAATTCTGTCTGTGTAGCTGCAGCTAACCTCTCTCATCATTGATTAGTTGCATGACAAAAGAGAGTAGCTCTGGACAGATCTTTCTGCTGTCCAGGGAAGTAATACTGCTCTGAAAAAGCAGCAGTAGCTGGTTTCACTGTCATTATAGGGCACCGGAACGGGATGAGAAAAGACTGGGGTAATTAACTTAGTTAAGGGGAGTTATTTCCAGGACTACCTGGTGGAGACTGTCAGGCTGCTTGATGGCAAAATATTTGTGCTCAGGAAACTGTCCCACCTGATACCCCATTGTTTGTGTCCAAATGGTGTGTTACTGAGATGAGTTTGGATGCTTCCTCTATGTTAACGCTTAAAAAGTTTTTGGGGAAAAACACGAGCACCACCTCCTTGCCCAATCCAAAACAAAACTGGGAAGAAGAAAAAGAAGCTTTACCTGCTGTAATAAGAATAACAGGGGATGAACCTTTCTACCTCCATCAGTTCACAAAAGGCGGTCAGACCGTACACCAAGTAGCTCTTAATGTTGTTAATGGAGGTCCTCTTATTCTCAGCTAGCAGTGATGGTTACCCACGCAATTTTTTTTTCATACTTTTGTATGGAACAAGAACTAATAACTAGTTACGAGAGTCTTACCTGGCTGGTCTCTGCAAATGTTGCAGCTGCTATTGGATTTTCTAGGAAGAATTTCACTGGCATCCTTAGATTTTACTAAGGGACTAGCATGTCTAAATGGTTTTTGTTTGTTTGTTTTTTCCAAGATATTTGTAATAGTATTGTTTTGAAGAAAAGGCAATCTACAGACGTTGTAGAGGGCAGTTCTGTTACTGGGAGCCTTTTTGCCCAGGACCTGAAGAAACAAATGTAATTTGCCAAACCTTTCTCTCCTTTTTTTCACAGTTGGCATTTTGAGAGACTTTGTAAGAAGCCACCTTGCAGATGCAGACTTGCCATTTTACTTGTGTGAGCATACTGTTGGTAATATTTGACCTTACTTTACAAAGCCTGTTTCTAGCTGTGGTGCATATGGGGTATTGTGATGCCATGAAGTATGATCTGGGGAGGAATTCCTTCCCTAAATATGGCCTCAGAGCACAAAGAAGGTGTAACCTGCTTACTTAGCCACATTATGCTTCTGCCTAATAAGAAGTCTATGTGTGCAGTGTGAATGTGTCACTCTTTAAAAGAGCAGTAATCCCTCCCGTACCTGCTGTATTTATTGTTTTGGTTGTTGGGTGGTCCTGTTTTGTAACTTGTTTTTTAACTTCAGTTATTGCACCTCCCAGAATCATCTTGAATGATGAAAGTTTGACGCTCTTTGAGGTAAGGACTCACATGTGTGCTCTGTGATTCTCTCTGACTTGCTGCTCCCCTTCACCCTGCCGTATGCTTTATTTACTTTTAAAGGAAGCTGTATAATGTGATCCCTGTGGGCTTCTGCTTAGCCAAGACTAATGGAACCAGGTGTTTTGGAGCACAAGCTGTTCACCAGAAGAGGTCCACCTTGTGCAACAATATGCACTGGCATATTGTGGCAGGCTTGGGGGGTTCGCATTGTTCCGTACGTACCCTCAGTGCCTTACGGAGCTTGAATTGCATTTAACCTTGAAACCTTATTACAAGACCTGAGCTAATGTGAGTTTGCTGTATCTGTAGTTGGGCTAGTATAATAGATGTGAGACTGGATATGGATAGGTGACTGTTTTCAATTTCTACAGCAGGAGCTAGAGGCCTTATTAGACAAAAGTATGACCTTTTTGATAATCACTATGTGAGAATTTATTTTAAACCAACTTGTATATTGAGGAATATGTACTATCTTTGTGTAACTTTTCTCAAAGGCTGAAATTTAGTTTTTCAGCTCCAGGTTTTTCCTGGAGGTTTTTTTGCAAATGTCAGATAAGGTGGTCTTGAAGTCTCTGGCCAGAGACTTAGACAATCACACATGTATTAAGAGACTGATTGAGTGATTTTGCCTGTGACTTTGCCCCAGACTGACCCTGATTAAAATGTGCTGTCATTCAGAACTTTCATGGACATTTGTAGAGTGGTGAACTGAAGATCACTTGCAGGGTAAAGGGTCAAGCAGACTACAGTGAGAGTTTTTGCTTGATGCCCCTGAGGGAGCAGGAGGAGAGGGATAGAGAGAGGGACTTTTCAGGCAGCATGGTGAATTAGGTAGGGATTAGCATGTCTCTGAAGTTGTTTGTAATGGAGCTTTCCAAATTCCACAACTTCCTGACCAGGCCATGTGGAAGAGAGACGCATGCAGCTGCTTGTAGACTATGGAATGTTCAGGGAAGAAAAGTGTGGATTTCTCTGTTCACTGTGGGAAGTCTCTCCCCTTCCTAATACCCTGTTAAGAATTCTTTGCTGAGATTTGAAGTTTTGGGAGTGGTTTTCTTGATGTTGGAGTTCCGTGTATTGTTACCGTGCCTGTGACAGGTTTAGCTTCATAGCGAGTCCTGAGCCTCTTGGGATCACAGCCCTGTTTGGTTCTGTGGTTCAGGAACTGTTATGCAGTAGCTCTTGACCTCCACCCAGCTTCATAGCCTGAGGACCGCTCTGTTTCTGTCGGCCTTCCTGCTCTCTCTCTGTTTGACCGTGGCCTCTGTTGTAATGTGCAGCGTGCATGGCTTGCTCCCACCGACAGGAATGGGACAGTGTATGTGTTGGTAAGACATAATGTCATAATGGGTGGGGAGAACAACAAATTTTTTCTTTTCAAAGCCATTTTGTATATTAATAATGAAAATAACAGTGGAAAGTGCTTTGTGTCTTTTGAGCCAGGAGATTTTGCCATTTGGGCATGAAGGCAGTTCTCCCAGCTTCCTCTGACTTGTGCCATCTTGCACACATCTGCCACCATAAGCACTGTCTCAGGGCACACATGGTAACCATAATGGGACATGCAAAGGACAAATCTTGTCCTCAGATTTCTGACAAATCCCGCGAAGGGGAAACTGGCTATAGTTGCATTGCTAATGATGTATTTGGAAAACATTCAGAGGAACAGCAGATAATAAAAAATGTTCTGTGCTTGTTAGCAGTTCTGAGGCAAGGGAAGCAGCTGTAGAGCTGTGACTAGCACAGACTAGTCTGACATGGCGCATGCACACTACTCTCAGCCTTTCTCTCTCTTTTTTTCTTTCTTTCTTTCTTTCCTTTTTTTTTTTTTTTGTCCTATGCTGTCATATCTGAGCACATCCCTCAGCTAGAGTTCCTTTACACGCATTTTCTAACATGCTTTTTGGAAAGCTTTTTTCATCATTCTAAAGCATGGTCTCCTGCATAAAGTGGGTGTTTTTCTGTCCTTTTCTAAGATTTGACTGGGATGTGTTCCCAGATTTCCTGTCTCAGCCTTCAGACTTGTGTCCCTACAAAATATACTGCTTTCTTTTCAATGTCTCTGTAGGAAGTTATATTCTCCCCTACCCTGTATGCCACATTTTCCTCTAGAATCTCAAATTTTGACACTATTTATTTTTTCTTTAAGATGGGCTTTTTTTTTTTTAAAGTACATCCTAGATACTGAAGACTCAAAATCCACCTCTATAATGAACCTTTTTCCTATTCTCAGTTAGTTTTCTATTGGACGTTTTGTTGCTCCTTTGGATTCAAGGTACTTACCTTTCTGAGGCTGTTTTCGTCCAGTGTTTTCTGTTACTGTTGGAAAATACCCTATCTGCTTATGTGCCTGAACTTACCACCTTGAAATCTCCTTTGACCATTCACTTCCTCTTTCTTAGTTAGCTTCTAAATCCTTTGCATACCATGCTCATTCCACAAAGAAAAGGAGGTTTCTCTGCCTCTTCAGTAAACTTGAACGCAGCGCCCTCTTTGACCTATATCTGCCTCCTGTTCATCCAGCCTCTGATGGTGTCTCTGGTCTCCATTGTTAGCTTTGGTCTACCCTCTAATTAAAGTTCAAAATCCTCTGCTTACCTATATTTACCCCTTACTCCCCCCCACCTTGCCCCCCACAATACTGTTCTTTTATTTTCTGTTTTTCAGCACACACCTAATGTTTCTCTGGATGTCTTCTAAAGATAACTTGTTCAGCAAAACACCACAGAAATAATTATGTCTCCCTGTCTTTGAATCAGAAACTTTATGGCAGGAGTTTTTTTTAATTTTCTGTGTTAAAGCCTTTGTTCTGTACCTGGCCCCATTACTTGTGCTTGTTACATGTGTGGCAATTTCCCAGTTGTGACATTTACTGTGGAATTCATTTCTTGCGGCAGCTCCCTGAAACATAAAAATGTGTTAAATTATTGCTCTGTAAAGATTTTGAGGTGCCTTACAGCCCAGTCTTTTAGACTCCTTTAGAAATCACGTGATGAAGAACCTGGTCAATTTTATTGTCAAGCATCTTCAATTTATAGTGGCTTTCTCAAGACTGAAGTGCTTGCTGTGTCACATGGCAAAGGAGCAAAGCCTTGTTGTTAGTACAAAACTGTGTTAAAGATATGCTGCTCAAAAGCTGAAAATTCTCCTGCAAATTTGACTGTTTTAAGGAATGATTTTTCTCATTTCTTGCTTCTCTGTGCCAACACAAAAGAAGAATAACATCCAGTTAAGATAAGGGGTGGCAAATCCAAAGCTGATTTAAGAATATTTTTTTTATGCAACTTGTGATCACAGTGTAGTCTAATTAAACTGTAAATAGAGAGTGGTTGTGTTGAGAATTTGGGCACAATTAAAGGAAAATGGATTTTTTTAAAGTATAATCTAAGTATAGAGAATCATAATTATTTGCAAAATGTGGAAAGCAAGTAAAATCCCATGCTTAAAATATTTTTTAGGGATTGTAACATGACATTATGAGGAGACTATTATCACATTACTTAACAGTTGCATGACTTGTCATTTTCTTCTTAACCAGCTGGCTCAGTGTAGGTAAATGTAGTGATTCGTGTGTGAGTGTTGTGGTTTAACCCCAGCTGGCAACTAAGTACCATGCAGCTGCTGACTCCTTCCTCCCTCCCCTTGGGGGGAAAAAGAGTGAAACCTGTGGGTTGAGATAAGAACAGTTTAATAATTGAAAAAAAAATAATAATAATGACAGTAATTGTAATGAAAAGGGAGATAACAAAGAGAAATAAAACCCAAGAAAGAGAAGTGGTGCACAGTACAATTGCTCACCACCTGCTGACCGTTGCCCATCCCATCCCTGAACAGCAATCGGCCCCTCCGAGCCAGCTCCCCTTGTTTATATACTGGGCATGCAGTTCTATGGTATGGAATATCCCTTTGGCTCGTTGGGGTCAGCTGTCCTGGCTGTGCTCCCTCCCACTTTCTTGTGTACCTCCTCACTGGCAGAGTATGGGAAGCTGAAAAGTCTTTGACTTAGTTGTTGCTAAGCAGCGCTCACCCCAAAACATCAATGTGCTATCAACATTATTGTCATACTAAATCCAAAAGACAGCGCTGTGCCAGCTACTAGGAAGAAAATTAACTCTCTCCCAGCTGAAACCAGGACAGTGGGGAAAAATAATTTGAACTTCATATGCATCTCAGTGAGCTCCTGGTTTGATTGTTACTGTGCTGGAGCAAAGTCCTAAGGTGATGAAATCATCAGCTCATTACTGAATAGTAGTCAAAACCAAAACGACCTCCTGCCCAAAACCCAAAGTATTCAGAATAAAATAGATAACAAAAAAAAATATTATATGAAACCAGGGTTTGCTCTGTGTGCAAATGTGTGCAGATCTGGCCTCTCATCTTAAAAAGGAACTGGTAAAGGTGCAGAGAAGGGCAGTGAGGATCATCAGAGGTCTGGAATGGCTCCTGCATAAAGAAAGACTGAGTAGGCTAGGACCGGTCAGTGTGCAAAAGACATGACTAGGAGAGACATAACATATCAAGGAAAAGCTGGAGGGGGGTGATTTCTTACTCTCTCCAGTATGCAAGTGAGTGACATCAAGTGAGGTGAGCAGGAACTAGAATAGATGGAATAAGGTGGCTGTTCATACAACAGAAAACTGAAGTGTGGAATTCCTTTTCACAGGGTGCTATACAGTAAAAGTATATACTGATTCAAGAGAAATTTGGACAAGTACAAGGAAGATACCTACTAAGAGTCTCTCTTCATATATAGAAACCATCTCAGGAAGTTTCTAAACTGAAAATCATTGCTAGCTAATAGTATTAGGGGAAAGTATCACATATAAGCAAAGAGCAAGGATACTCTTCTCTGTGCATCTGGGTTTTTGTTCACTGTTAAGAGATGGGATACTGACTGGACTGAATGGACTTTTGGTCTGCATACAGTTGTTATGTCCTTGTATATTGCTGGAGGTGGACTGACCGGGCTGCCTTGG